AATAAATAAATAAAATCTTTAAAAAAAAAATGTTACTATTCTGAAGAATGTTTGTAAACATGTCACAAATGCTCTTTTTTTTTTTTTTTTTGGTGGGCAGCAAAGCAAGGTTTATTGAGTGATAACAGTGATAGTACAAAGCTCCTGAGGAGGGAGGGGACCCAAGAGGGTGGCCACGGGGAGTTTCTAAGTCTAGAGGTTTTTACAGGCTTGTTGACAGGCTGTTTTAATCTGATTAACCCTCCCTGCACCTGTCATCCAATCAGGTTTTTGTCACCTATCATATGGGAAAGGGTGGAGGGCTTCTTCCAGGGTGGTGTGAAATCCTTTTAAGGGTGGTTTCATCTTTGGGCGGGACCCCTTGTCCCTGCTTGCCTGCCTCCTAACTCTCCATCATTCCCCCCTCTGAAGACATATCCTTAATTGCCATTAGGGAAAAAGGGCTATGACTGATCGTAGCAACTTCATGTTGGTCAAGAGGGTTGGATGGAGCGGCAGTCATGGTTCTTCTTGTCCTGATCTATCAAGGGGTCCCTTGTAGATACCTGGTTTGACCTTCATATGAAGCTCCATCTGAACCACCATTTGGAATTTGATGACCTTCATTCTGGAAGATATAAAGCAGGTTAGGGCATTTAGGAGGCAAGGCCCAAAGCACAATGCAAGATCGAGTATAGCCAGCGGTCTGGCGAGAGGTAGAGGATGTTTTGGTGAACTTCCCACATACTGTGAGGAGAGGGCAGGTGAAAGGAATGCCATAAGGATTATGATTTTGATGGGATATAAGGATCTGTGTCTTGTCCCTTCAAGACTAGTTTGAGGTCCTCTCTGGGTTCACAGAGGGATTTTGGTTCCTTGTTGTTAGGCCCCATTGGGGACCAGGGTTTGACTCTGGAGTGGGGGATTCAGGCTTCAAATTCAGGCACTTTGCTGTTGGAGTGGCTAAAATAACTGTATTCAGTCCCTCCCAGGCTGGCTCAAACAAGCCTTGGTCCCCAGGGTAAAATGGGAGAGGTTGGGTATTTGGGGGCTGGGAGTTGGGAAACTCCTTGCAAGAGGGATAGAATGATTCCAGAACCTGGGATGCTCCCTCTGTTATCACTCAGAGGGACTGGGGGAGTTCAAACCAAGGGACTTACCAGTGCCTTTATCACTTCTGAGGCTTTTTCAGTTTTACAGGGGAAGGCCTCAACCCAGTGCATGAAGGTATCTACCCAAAGCAGGAGGTACCTGTACCCATGCATTTTAGACATGTGTGAAGTCCATTTGCCAATCCTCCCCAGGATAACTTCCTACTTGCTGTATGTCTCAGGGGATTTGTGAACAGGAGAACAGGGTATTCTTCACGTTTTTCCTGTCCTAGAGTTAGTTTCTTCCTGTCCCAGAGTTAGTTTCATAGTCAAAGCTGTCCCTAAGGCATGCCCGCCAGCCATAAGCCACCAGATCCAGCTCTTTGCTTAAATATCCCACTGGCTGTTGAGCTGGTCCCTGGGCCTAGGTTAGGTCACCCAAGGCCATTCCCTTTCTGTCACATCCCTCATGGTAGGAAGACTTAAAGCTGGGGCACTGAGCAAGGCCCTCTTGAGATTTTTAAAAGCTTTTTCTGACTCTGGATTCCACGTTAATTGATGGCTGTCTGGGTGTCCTTGATCAATCAGTAGAGGGGACATGCTATTTCTCCATATCCTGGTATTCACGAGCGACAGTGTCCTGTTATGCCCAAAAAACCTTTCCAACAAGGGAAAGTTGTGTGGTCCTTAAAGTGTATGGGAATTTACTCTTTTTTTCCTAAAGATATTTAAATAACCTTTTTATTTTAGAATAATTTCAGATTTACAGAAAAGTTACAAGATGGTACAGAGTTCCTCTCCATTCCTTACCTGCATCTCACATTATTGTGGTAACTTTATCACTCTCAAGAAGCCAACATTGGTACATTACTATTAATTAAACCCCAGACTTTTTTCATATTTCCCTAATGTCCTTTTTCTGTTGCAAGATCCAATACAGGATACCCCATTGCATTTGGCAAATGCTCTCTTCTGCCCTAAGCAGTCCCTTCTTCTGTTAGCCTGAACTGTGCTCTGCTCCAAAGGAATGCCACAGGGAAGCTCCTTGCATTCTCCAATTCTGGCATTTACAGCTTTCTGCCCTTCACTTTTCTGACCAACCTGTCTTGCACTCTGACAGATCCAGTGTACTTCCTGGTTGTATGACCTAACCTAGATCCTCAGTAGTAATTCCTACAGAACCTGGCACATGGTGACTCTTCCTTAAAAAATGTTAATTATAGCTTTTTAAAATCATTGTGCTCTCCTCTTCAGGTTGTAAACTGGCCTAGCTCCTGATTCCGTCCAAACTTTTTCAATCCTCTCATGTTATCTCAGATGTTACTCAGTTTAGTAGATGAGTTTGCTGACTCAGAGGCTGCTTAATTGCCAGAGAAGTTTGAATGCTTCTTTTTAAATGCTTTGTGACTTTCCTTCCCTTATAGAAAATTTTGGAAAGTAATAGGACAACAAGAAAGAATCTGGTATTTCAGACTTCTTCCAAGTCCTCTCCCACCCTCTATTTTGGTCTTTTTTATTCCTAGAACTCCCACCATACTGCCTGCAAATAGGGGAAGGCCCACCCACCCATCTGCTGTGAGCAGGGAGGGAACAGACCTGGCAGCTGTGGTC